CAACAACGAGATAATACAAACTCTTACTGATAATGATATAAAAACACACACGTTTGTAAGTTTATGGACTCAGTATCTTAGCGGACAACGATTTGGTATTTGAAGCAAAAGGTACTAGGTTCGAATTTCAGTCTGTGGATTAACATTGGAATGCAGGTACAATTACCTGAAAAGTTACAACTAGGATAAAATGTACTTCCCAAAAATCATAGTTAGGCATAAGCTATTTATACTAAAGAAAACACAAACCTTCATTCAAGATTATAATTTATTTGATACAAGGTGGTTCAGTTTGTCCTGATAAACTGTAGAATATGTTAGGTTGACTACTTATTCTGTATTGAACACATATGAAAATTGAAGTTCCTAGCAAATGTTAATAATTGATAATTGAAATCATTTTCGACTTTTTCATGCCAGTCCGAAACCCAAGTTAATCTAACTAGCATTGTTGAAAAGACAACTGGTGTATTACCAAATTAAATTATCTAAAAGTCGTTGACTAATACTTCATATGACAAATTTCATGGCTAATTCTCATGAAACGAGGATAAGAAAGTTATTACCAGTATTTAGATTTCAAGAATGAATTTGAGCATTTTACATTGATTAGTATTAATTGGTGTTTATCATAAGCGTATTAGAACACAAGACCTCTGTGCCTCATAGCGAGTTCCTGACTTCTAGATTTCTCAGCCTGCGTCCAATGGCTTACACGTTTTATTTCATTCGGCTCTAGATATTGTGCGACCATCTTTTAATGTCATTGGTTCATAACTGCTTCACACTAGAAATGAATCTCATAGACTCAGAATCATCAAAGCATCCTTGAAAACAAAGAGGGAGGGAATCACAATGAATGTTATTCAGTGTTATGCACCAACCAATGATAGCATTGGTGACGACAATGATCAGTTTCACGAGAGGCTTTAATCGATCATAGTGAAGTTCACAGGAAAAGACATGATATCCTAAAGGCAGATCTAAACAACAAAATCGGAATGAACATCACTTAATAGGAAGATATCATGGGACGGCATGAACTGGAAGAAAGTGACGAGTATGATGAGATATTAGCGAATCTATATGCATTCAACAAAATGGTTATAGTCGGAACGATATTACCAAACAAACGCATACATATAGCTAAAAGGGTCTCACCGGACCATACTACAGAGACTCATATCGACCGTATTTGCATCACTGAGAAATACAGGTCACTGGGTGTGAGAAACAGGAGAGGAGATGACATAGTTCCACATCACCACCTGGTGGTTGCCAAGATGAAACTGAAGCTAGAGAAGCACTGGGCAACTGGAAAAGCAGCAGTACAAATCTTCAATACAGACATCCTATGAAATGCTGGCAAACTCAACGAATTCAAGATAACTTTCAATAACAGCCTTACAAGATCTACTCACAGAAGAAGAAACTACTATGGAGGACAATTGCAAAGCAGTCAAAGAAGCACTAACCCCAACGAGTTAGGAGGTGCTGGGCCTCAAAAACCATTATCATAAGGAGGCCAACAGATTGAATTCTGTAATGATCGATTGTCCACAGACCAAATCGCAACACTACGGACAATCAGTTGAGGGAAACTCGTCACTATACATCAACTCCCTTGATTATAAGAAAGCATTTGACAGTGTAGATAGGAAAACCTTATGGAACCTTCTTCGACACTACGGTGTAACTGAAAAAATCGTCAACATCATACGGCGAACTACACTGCAAAATTGTGCATGGAGGACAAATGACAGACATATTTCAATTGAGAACAGGAGTCAGACAAGATTACTTCCCACCCCTTTTCTATCTTTTCTCATGGTGATTGGATTATGAAGACGTCCACATCTTATGGGAAGCATGTAATAAAATTGACAGATTGAATGCAACTAGACAATTTGGACTTAGCAGATTACCTGACCCTTCCATGTCATACACATCAACAAATGTAGATGAAGGCAACTAGTATGACTGAATACTCTACATCAGTAACCTCATCATGCACATGGAAAAACCAAGATTCTCAAACAACATAGAGAACATCAACCAAATCACACCTGATGAAGAAACTTTGGAAGATGTTTAATCTTTCACGTACCTGAGCAGGATCACGGATAAACAAGGAGAATATGATGTAGATGTAAATGCAAGGATTGGCAAAGCATAGACAGCATTCCTACAGTTGAAGAACATATGGAATTCAAAACAACTGCCAACCAACATCAAATTGAGAATCTCCGATACGAACGTCAAGACAGTTCTACTGTACGGAGCTGAAATGTGGAGAACCACTACAACCACCATCAAAAAGTACAGGTGTTTACAAACAATTGTCTACGTAAAATACTCAATTTCCGTTGACCATGAGCAACAGCCTACTTTGGAAGAGAAAAACCAGCTCTCAGATGAAGAAATTAAGAAAGGAAGCTAGAAGTAGATAGGACATACATTTCGGAAATCATCAAACTGCGTCATGAGGCATGTGTTAACTTGAAATCCTGAAGAGAAGAGGAAGACCAAAGAACACAGTGTCGAGAATTGGAAGCAGACGTGGAAAGGATGAATAACAACTGGAAGCAACTGGAAAGGGTAGCCCAGGACGAAATTGGATGGAAAATGCTGGTGGGCGGCCTATGCTCCTTCACTAGGGATGACAGACGTTAGTAGTAATGTTCGTTATCAAATCGATCTATCACATAACTGAATGTGTCATTAAGGGCTTAACACTTGATTTAATTTCAATGACTGCTCAAATATATATTTTTAATGTATTAACTACTTTCAGAGAAAAGTTAGGATAATTGGCACAAAATCGACACCCAATGGTCGTTCTTAAAACAAGCATAGTAGGACTGTTGTCATGTAGCTTGTGAGAGCCATCAGTGGGACTTTTTAAGAGTGATAAAAATTTTTTATCTCATATGGTCACGTAATTAATGAACAGTATTTCATGAAATATGAACGTTTCTTCTCTACCATATTATTGTTTTTGGACAAGGATCAAAGGTGTGGTTAAGAACTTGTTCAGTGAATAACTCTTAATAGGAGTCAGGCACAATTTCAAAAATAGCCCGAAAACTCAATATGGATTAGCTTTCAAATTTTTTTATTGCTCTATGTAGTCAGTTAAGCTGACGTTATGGAATAATGCTGACTTGTTATCTCTTGTATGTGATACATTCTTTCTGCAAGTTAAGAAAACGCTTGAACTTCTGTCTTAAATACTAAACACGTTTCCTATTCTTGACACTTATCGTGATCATCAATAAATTTTATCTATGACTTAACTAGCCTAACAATTTATCTACCACGATTATTCCATTATTTAAAGTGACGATTGACAATTGATAAAAAAATTCGAACTCCTAGGATGAAATATCGACGGCCAAACATAAAGAATTTATAGGATACGTTTTATAATGAGGAAATTCGGCTCAAGTGGCAATAATCTTGGAAAATTGAATTTTACATTAGGACCGATATTTAGATATCTAGTGTGGTATGGTATAAGAATAATAGATCAATAATCATCCAAACGAAATCTAAATCATATAAACACACAAAGTTCTGGTCAAAACTAAAACACTATCAACTACAAAACTATTCCATATAGATATCCATCATGAAAACTATGAGTAATTAACACATAAAAATATGGTACACATATGATGTATAAATTTTACTTTAGAAATTGATTACAGAAGCAGGTATCATTTGAAACAAAACCACACCACACCACACACACACACACAGAAACACGCACACACACATAGAATCAAATGAAATTGTATACATTCGACAAACATTTTTCTGTCTAAAAATACAAATAAACTATTCATTACTAATGTCAGTTTGTTTGTTATTCTGTCTTATAAAACAATATCATCATCATCATCATCATCATTATCATCACAGGAATTCATTGAAAGAAACAAAGTATTTGAAATAAAGCATTTGTAAAGAAAGAAAACTTTCGAACAATTAACAGAAGTAATAATAATATTAATAATACTAATATTAATAATCGGAATATGAAATTATTCGATACAACCAATTAACAAGATCTTGTGGAAAATATGAATTAGATGACAATAATAATAGTTATATCAATAGTAATGATAATAATAATAATAATATGGATAATAATAATAATGTAAGGATTATACAACAATTTGTGCGATGAAGAGATAAAGGACAGTAATTAAATTCATCATAATCATATTAATTATCATAATAATCTTTTAAGAGATCAAAGTTTATTAAATAAGTAAATTCACCAGGTAAAATGTAAAAAGTAACAAGAGATAGAACAGTATCAACTTAGGATACCTGATGTAAGTAAAACTGTGTGTGTGTGTGTGTTATCTCTATTTGTTCAGTTTTTTGCATCTTATTGTTCAATCTTTTTTTAGTGTAATATTTAAAACATCATTAGTGTTCAATTCTGCTCTTTGTAGAATTACAATGAGCACAATCATTGTTCATATTGCATAATATTTCTTTTCATTAAAAGAAAAGTTGGTTCGGACAAATTAAGCAAAAACAAAACAAGCGGAACTGTGAAGAAAGTTATGTTTCTTAAGTTAAAAATTATACGTTTATGGTGCATAATCATCATCATCGTTAACATTAAAAGAGAAATGAAAGGTAAACAGATAAATGATAAAGAATGAACAGCACACAAAATATAGATATTGATAAACACATAGTTATCATATCGACATCTAAAAATGATCATCATTGTGTTTCTATGACAACATTAATTTAAAATAATGAAAATAGCCTGATAGATGGAGATTATATGAATGTTTCGTACATTATACAATGAATTGAAATTATACACATATGTAATAGCGTACATATATATGTTATATTTATATAAAATGGAAGGTGCATACACTAATTCCCTAGAATATAAACTCAATGAAGTGTCTATGATTTCTTTTTCAGTTTAACCAACAATTTTCTGTAAACATATTCCAAAAACTCCTCTATGCATACATACCTTTGTCATTATCACTTCGAGGATAAAGTAATGACTCAGAAGCTGGACCGTCATTATTACCCTGTTTCGTGAATACAGTAAGGTTACGATCTTCTAAAGCTGTAGTACGTTTGCCTACAACAATACTTCCAAATGCAAGATCACATGCAACGTCATCAAATGTCCGATTTTTAGTTTCTGGCATAAACAGGAAAAAGAAGATCCAGCAAATCACAACGACCACAAGGAAGGGTAAAAATGAATAACCACCGATGTTTTTCTGAACGGATAAAGCAAAATGTAAGATATACAAAAAAATAGTTTAAATATATTAAATTGTAGCAACGAATAGAAAAAATATTTCATTATTATTGTATGATATCTTTGAAAAATGAATATAGTAATCTCACTGTGAGATTAGTTCATCTAACAGGTTAAATGCACAGAACTTGGAGATATATGTTTAGTTAAACCTAGCAGGATATAACTGAATGTTAACCGCCTTAATGCAAAGCATTTTAAATCATTCCAGTTATTCCGAGATTTCGTATTATTGTAGCATCTTTTTTTCGCAAATCCAAACAATACAAATACTAGACAATTTTTTCAGGCACAAATTAAATTAATGATTATCGATATTCATACAATACAACTGTCTTTACAAATTTGTAAGGACTATATTAAACTGGTCTCTAGAGAATTACTAATAAAATTGTCAGTGAAATTGGTGGTTGGCGCACATGTAATGATAATGTCAGTTTACAGAAAAAGGAGCATCACAAAATTGATACTTGGTACTAGCTTTTGCCAACTTGCGTCATTTATGGCGTAGGCGAGATATCCGTCTATCAACCAAAGGACGTGTTTACTGTTTCGTCCTACTTTATGGCAGTGAAACGTGGCCGGTAAGAGTAGAGGACATTCGTAGGTTACTAGTATTCGATCATAGGTGTCTTCGAAACATTGCTCGTATATCCTGGGACCATCGAGTAAGTAACTCAGTTGTTAGGAAACGGGCACTATGTAAGGATGGCAAATCAATTGATGAAGTAGTGAAACATCATCAGTTGAGATGGCTAGGACACGTGTTACGTATGCCCAACGACCGACTGCCTCGACGTGCGATGTTTTGTTGTATAGGAGTAGATTGGAAGAAAGCTAGGGGCGGCCAGACCAAGTGGACTGAGCCATGTTGGTAGGTGTAGACTACCTGGTTGGGGACCGCGAGATGATAGCATTCGATGGTTAGGGAACTTGAATGACCTGGCTCAAAATCGTTTGCAATGGCGCAGGTGCATACACTCTTTGTGTTCTCCCAAATTTTAATCTCCTGATTCCTCCTTGTCTTTTTTTTTCTCTTCCCAAATTTGTCCCACTGGATTATAATCTTTAAATAACATCTCCAAACCCTAGTCTTCCTGATTACTGCTTATACTCTTACTACCTCTACCACTACGGGATTAGAATCGACAAATGCATCTCTGTGCTAATGTAGCATGGTAACTCGAACTGATGTACGTACGTACGAAGTTCTACGTTGTTACTGACTGACTTGGTAAGTATGAATTTGATAAGTTGTACAACTTTCTTTATGATAACATTTCCATTTATGGTCACTCAATATTTTGCATAGTAGAATAAATATACATATAAAGTTCAATAAGGAATACTTGATCAAATCTGTCTTTATCACAACAAAGATAATCCACTTACCTGTATAACAGGATAACTACATAACACAATTAGATTTGATAACCATTGAATTGATTGACTAAGTGAATAAGCTGCAGCACGTGGACCTTGTCTAAATATTTCTGATACAATTAATGCAGGTACTGGACCTAAGCCGAGTGCAAAACTGCATATATAAACTAATATCAAAATGATCGATATTATACCCATAGCAGATCTCGCACCTACCGGACCAGAATATGCCAAATTAACAAATATTGTAAGTAATAACAAGGATAAAGCTAATGATACTGTAGGCCATAATAATAAAGTACGACGTCCAGCACGTTCGATTAGTGGAAGAGAGACTACAGTTACGATAACATTGAGAACTCCAATAGCAAAGACACAATATTGTAAGTACATATCAGGAATACCAGCTAATTCTAACATAAGAGATGAATATGTTATAACCTATATAACAAAGAAAAAAGAAAATACACAAATATATATATATATATTGATAAAATTAAATTTACTCAACAATATAGAGGCTGATAATCTATTAATCCGAATAAATGTAGAAAGATAATGATCTACAGTAGAAACATAATATCCATTGTTTGAATGAATGATCTTTAATATTTGCATGAGAGCTTATTGTAAAAAACGAACATTTAACTCAGTCTATGAATACACTACATTCAATCTTATTTGTCACAACCAATGTTAAAGTGGTCATTGTTTTTATGTACCAAAAGAAATTTAGACGGTATAACAGTTAATGATTCAAAGTAAGTCTTGATTAATAAACTGACAGTTTTTTTACTTATATTTATAAGAAAGCAACACTTTAATGAACTGCAATATGTTGACCTTATATCTATATATATATATGTCATCATGGATAGTTAGATACTCGACACTGAGTTACCGACCATATAAACTTTGAGAATAGAATATTAATTCAAATGAATGTAAAATTAAGTCCAAAACATCTCAAAGGAATATTAAGTGAACTTCCAATATGACTTCAATACCTGGCCATAAAAATAAATATTTATGAGATTCTAACTGACAAGTTATTCACTCATCTACTCCAGGTTTGTAGATTTATTTGCAATAGAAAGTCAGTTATGGTAAAGTGCTAACCTAAAATAATGATTATCAAATGAAATTAGAATTCTTTTATCATCTTCACATAAGTGACAACATCTAAAAAGCTGACAGATACAATTCACTTCATCATCCAGTATCCATTATCATGAAATATTTTAGAATTTCATATAAATGTTATCTATAATATAGTAGGCAGTAATTAACTAATTTTCAACGCATATTTTAATGTTTAAATCCAAGTAACAAATTTCGAGTAATTTTCTATATTGTCACTGAAATAACCAAATGGATTAAACAACTTCTCTTCACGAAATCTTATTTCCTTGGTTTAATTTTGTAACACAATTGTAATCTCTTCATATTCATAATAAAACGGATGAAATAAACAATTCATAATATCATTAAGAAATGAAAAACTATCAATACTATGTTAGGATAACCAATTTATTGTCTTCCTAAATTGTGAAAACCATACATTAAATACTTCATTTGCAGATCTTCCATCAGTTGTCCTTTACATCCTTCATGATTCTTTCAACTCTCAATTCCTTTCCGTTTTCTTCAGTTTAATCTTCTCGATTGTATTTTGACAGGTATCCCGCTCCCAATTAGTGTTATATACTACTTGCGTCTGTCATTATAAGTAGCATACACCACAACTATGCGGAGGGAACTACAGTATAGTAGTAATCAGATTCGTTATAACTGAAGTGTGAGAGAGAATGTGCTATGATCACCAAGAGATCATTATTATATCGAGTTACTGACTAAAATTGTGAGCAATATACTGTACATAAAATCAGCGCAATAAACATATCAAAAAAACTCATACACTAAATAAACCATATTGAAGTAATACAATATAACTAACCGCATTAATTCCGGATAATTGTTGTAAAACTTGGATTAGACAAGCAATAAGCACTGCCATTCGAAGATCTTTTTGTGTAAATAATTGTGTAAATTTAAAAACTGGTTGATTTTTCGCAACTTCAATTTCTCCACGCAATTCACCAATGAATGTATCAACATTTTCTTTAACATTTAATTGTAAAAATGCTTTGCGTGCCTCAGCTTCTTTATTTTTTTTCATGTATAAAATCGTGGACTTTCAGGACAAAATGGTAAAATAATCAATGACACAGCTGCTGGAATAGCACCCAAAGCAACAGCAAGTGGCCATAGATTTATTGTGTTCACAGAAATGAAAATGTAATGAAATACGAGAAAGCAATACCAATGGTTACAGCTAACTGATGACAAGCACCAATACCACCACGCAGATCACGTGGTGCCACTTCAGTTAAATAAAGTGAAGCTATGCCAATTGTAATGCCACTATTAATACCAATAACAAAACGGCCAACATATAATAACACAGGTTGCTGGACAAGAACACAAGGACCAACAATTACACCACCGATAATGCCAATAACATTATTGAGTAATAAACCATTTCGTCTATAATATTAGCAACAAAAAACAGAAGAGGAAATTGCTTGAAATCGATCAATACTCTGTCACTCTTATGTCGAAAGAATGACAAAAAGTTTTATAAATTGAATAAAATAACTGTATATTTCACAGTATCTGCATAGATAGTAACAAAACTCAAGTATGTCAAATCAACATAATCCAATAATGCTGATATGGTTAAACTCATCAAGGATTCTTTCATGATAAAATAGAATTACTTCCATATTTAAGATATATGTTCCTAGTACTCCAGTGGGTACTACTAGAGTAGTGAACGAAAACTTAGGTGCGGAAAACCAATTTACTTTTTAATACAAAATTGCATAGTTCTTTGGTGAAATGTGAAAACTATACATTAAATACTTCATTTGCAAATCTTATATCAATTGTCTCAAACTTCATTGTCCCTTCATCGCTTTCACAATTACTCTCTGTTTACATTCCCGTTCTCTTTGATTCGACTTTCTCAACCTGCTGCCAGGCATTCCACATCTGTTGGCGTTATATACTAATTATGCTGACAGACATAATCCCGTAATTATTGACAGAGAATATATATTCAATGTGACCATTCAACCTCGTAAAATAAGCAATTACTAGTGTGGATATAAAATCGATCTAACAGAGGTTTACACTGAGTAAAATATTTTTGTTGGTATAACAACTCCGACACATACTTTTTGCCCCCAAATGGCCTGATACGGTCTATGATGAGGAGAGTCAACCCTCCCTCTCGAAATGCTCTCACATGGCCACGTGCATACAACCACTGCCAGCAAAGTCCTACTCATTGACTTCTCGTGGCGGGGGTGTTGTTTACGAAACTGAGAGGACAAAAAGCGAATGTCCGGCACTTAAACCGGGTTGTTGGAGATAGTGGATCCATCTACGGGAGTTAGAAAACCATGATTCCAAACCAATGGTGCACATGGGCTCCAGGATCCTAAGGGAAAAAGTGGCGTACGAACCAATTATTGGTCACCGCTACCATGGGACTGCATCTAACGTTGCTCCACTGCCTTGTGGATCAGACCTTTAGGTCGAAAGCTCCGGGTGTAGTCCCTAAGAAACTACCTGTTTCGGTTTGGGCACCCGAATAGTATCCCAGCCCTCACACAAATCGAATGATTTATATGACGCATATCTGTTCGGTGACTCCTTGTACCAATATCTATGTGTTAAAATAAACAAATAGTAATACGAAAAGAAAATCACTTGATCAATGTTTTCTGGTTACCAAAAATTGTTCAAAATTTCATGATTCTATCAACCTATCGCCTCAAATAAGATTAATGTTACTTGTTTTTATTCACTATTAATCATATATCGAATCAGTAAATTAAGAAAAAAGAAACGAGTGAAGAGGAGAAACAGTCATTGAACTTATAAACAAATGAAATACAGTATCATTAAACATCTCTTTACAAATCGATTAAAACATACCACTGGGGTCAGTTAACATAATTAATCGCAAAATTTTAAACTATTGAATAGTTTAATTGACATTTTATTCACGTGTTTAACGGTCATACATGGATAGTTAGATAGTCTGATTTATGATAGTAAACAGTTTGCAATTATTTAATACTTATCTATGCAAAATAGATAATTAGTAATACAGTTATTATGTTTATCTCATGGAATAGCATTAATCGAAAAGGTTTTAATGAAATAAAAATTATGTAAATCATGTTTTTTGTTACGTAATCTATCAATATTCATGTCGATAATCAATTTCCTTCAAGTAATAAAGATTAATATCAGATGGGTTTTGTGGATATTATAGTAATTTCAATGGTTAAAATCATGAGTCAGTTGAAGGTAGACCACCATGGAAAACCTGGAAGCACTGGACGGCCGTTTCGTCCTGGCACTTCTGAGGAGTCCCACAATAGGACGAAACGGCCGTCCAGTGCTTCCAGGTTTTCCATGGTGGTCTAGCTTCAACTGACTCATGATCTTAATCATTGAAATTGATAAAGATGAGTTATTCAGTAGATCGAGAAATAATATTCTAAGGTCTTACATGTTCTAAAACACTAAAATCAATGTTATTCTGAAGTCAAGAAATGATTACTTTTAAAAAAACGTAGTAACAATCAATTAGAGATGATATTTTTTTCTACTTACCGACCAAATCCATCAGCTACCCAACCACAACTGAATGCTCCTATCGCAGCGGCAACTACAAATATTGTACTGGCATGAGTGTAGAAGAAGTTTGAATCTAATCCTGGAGTATTTGGAACAACTGTCTCATTGAAATATGTTTCAATATTCTATAAATTATTTAGTAAAGATTAAATATTAAATATTCATGTCAGGTAAAAACCTTATTAAAAAAATAGTGTATTGTTAAAATATGAAGGCGTTACCTGGAGAATAGCTATGATAGAATATGGTTTAACAAACAAACAATATGAGTGACTGTTTCATCTACCTACAGCTTAGTTTCATTATCCATAATATTACCAACTTAGGTACAAATTGTAGTCTCATATGTTTAGCTTAAACATCAACCACAGTTATCACAAGATAGGGCAACATATGAAACTAAATTTTCATTGAAGTATAGCATCAACATGAGATGCCAATGTACTTGATAATACTGTTTGGGCGGGTGGATTCCCTACAATTCTCCAAGTTTCTAACACCTCATGAATTTCTTCTAAGTTTAACTAATTCATATTCTCTAAAATCGTATCTTTATCTATTCTTTTTTATTACCATCAACACTTTTGCTGTCGCTAGTACTCTGGAATTTATCCTGTATCTCTCTGTATTAATATGGGTATGGCAACTTGAACTAATATACACATGTGCCTACGTTGCATCAAAATGATTAACAGAATGACTGACTGATGGTGTAAAGCTTCCAGGTTGAAGCTTGCGGTACAATCCTATCCTGCTTTTGAATGAACCTAACTAAATGTTAAACATAATATTCTAAGAAATAACCATTAACTTACAACTCAACATATAAGTAAATTATATTACCGTATTACATCACACCTATTTACCAATAAGGTTACCTTATGTTGCATTGAAGTGTTGTCTACTTTAGTGGTTTGCTGATATTAGTTCACAAAACTCGATGAGTTAGCAATCGTGTAACTTTAAAAAGTGTTTATCAACCAGTATTGACTGTATACATGTATATTTAATTATTTTTAACCAAAGTACTTCAGTTCCGTTCGATAGAAATTACCAGCATAAACATTCTGGAGAGGCATTAGTCATTATAACTGTAACTAAGCGAGAACGTAATCATAAGTATGAGAACTATCTGGCCAACTATATAGTATTCTATACTTTTGGTGCACAAAATTCCAGTGTTTTGAATTTGAATGTAAAAGAGCCTTAGGTATTCCTGAATGTTGTAGGATGTTTTTTTTTGAAAAATAACACTAATGAAAAGTAGATTCGAACTCCTACTCGATTGATTTTATGCTATGACACGAAACTACACCATCACGTAACTCAATTAAATGATCATTCAAGTTCTAGTACCAAAAACACAGTCAACCTATTCCTCTCACTTCAATAAAAGTAAAATTAACTATTTAACTTAACACGTTCAACTTGCTGGTACATATGAAATTATTAAGTACGATATTCATATTATATATATATATATATCGTCAATGAATATTACTCACCTTTCTTGGTAGATTCAAAACTCCAAGATTGTATCCGATTAGAAATGATGATCCAAGACATGTTATAATGACAGTTAAAACAAGTTTCCCTGTGATACCGTTATTCTATAGAATAATGTAAAAATATGAAACTATACTGAATGATAAAATAATGTTCAACTGATTTATTATTAAGGAACCAAATACATACACTATGTAACTTTATGAGAAACAAAAGATACATCAATTATAAATTTGTATTTTGTCTGTATACGATATGTTCATGTTATTGAATTGCTCAATAAATGTCTTACAATTTTTGATTACACCCACAGTGATCATTATTTGGTGAACTGTTATTGGTTTTTATTAATAAATAATGCATCATTTATGATAAACTTCGAGAATAACTTTACGAAACAGCTATTCACTATATCTCAGTTTCCTGGTTCAATCAAAGAGGATGTTGTTCAAATCAATTATGAAAGCTTCACAGTCAAATGATCTACCACAGAGAACACAACATTATCAAAATATTTAATCAATTTAAATCTATGATGGAAACCAACTTGAAAATACATGTTGATTTTTGATATAAAATCGATATAAAAGATTCCTAGCTAATATCATTATCAATCATAAGATTATGATATTTTTTTAATTATAATGTTCCATTCAATGATCAATACATAAGTAGATTTTTCTAGCGTCGTCTTTCCTATTATGCGTTTACTTAATCATATTCTTATATTTGATTTCACGATATCTTACAATGAGATCATTTGTTAACGCAAAAAGATTTCAATCAACAACTTTCACCGTTTAAGATTCAATAATAGACATTTCCTAACTCAAATGAAAATGGAATCCTAGAAAGATCATCTTTTTTCAGCCTTTCGTCTAACAATATATCCATACATAAGTTTACCATAAAAAACTTTGTAATCACAGGAGCATTAGTAAATATCAATATGATAAAAATAAATAGTCAATAACTATGTTCAATAATCATTATCAAAATTGAAAACGATACTTACTGAAGCAACTCCCATCTTTTAGCTTAAGTCGTCAATCTAAAATGAATTATGCCACACCTCTTTAAACTTTTAAACTTAATTCAGTTACTCCGCCCACTCATTACAATTGTGACCATTTGGGTCTGAGCTTATCAGTTCACCAATCAAATGATTGTAAATAAACTAGTTAATACACTTACTAAATAACCAGTAGGATAGGAAATAAAAGATTTTCTTATTGTTCATTGGATTAAATTTTCAATTCATGATATACACCCTAATTAGCTTGTACTGATTGGTTAATAAAATGTTGTCAAGACACTATAGAAAAAGCATTCTTTTCTTTTTTTTTTAAGCTATCGTCTTTTATTTTGTAGAGTTCAAATAGGCATAGAATAGTATTCCGACTAATAATTTAGAAAAAAATATAAAGAACACAACATAAATCATGACTGTAGGTATGTCTAGAAATGTATCAAAATAACTGAATACTAGCTGAATAGGCCTACATGACACTATCGGTCTAAGTTATATAGTTTTGAATAAGATTTCTAGTCACATTTCTTGTAAAAATTTATTTCAACAAATTAGTTAAATATTCTTTCTACAAAACAAAAGAAAACAACTAGTATCCTAATTAATTTGGACTACAAAAATAGCATGAACTAATGTTAGTTCACTTTGTTTTAGTCTTTCTATAAAGTCATGTGATAAATAAATAACTGTATGTAGTTAAACTAGAGTTTTTTTGTTTCAATGAACTTAAAATCTTCTTAGATATAGACTGAAAGTCGTCAAAACATTCAGAAGAATTTACTGAAACTATAGTTGAAATGAATTCACTAAGTCCAGACTTCCTAGAGACTGGAAAGACGCCATAATAAGTCCGGTGTATAAGGCTGGGAGTAGGGATTTAGTTAGTAACTATAGACCCGTTAGCTTAACTAGTGCAGTTGTGAAACTGATGGAGAAAATCATTCGGATAGCTGTTATAAACTATGTTGAAGGGCAAAATCTTTTCTCCAGGGAACAACATGGTTTTCGGAAAGGCCTATCTTGCTTGACAAATCTTCTCATTGCACGAGAAGAGTGGGCTGCGGCAAAGGATCGGAATGCTCCTGTGGATGTAATTTTCATAGATCTAAGTAAAGCCTTTGATAAGGTTTCCCACTCTGGTCTTAAATTCAAACTGAAACGTTTTGGAATCCATTATACAGTCGTCGATTGGATAAGTAACTTTCTCCATGACAGGAGACAAAGGGTAAGGGTTAATGGGGCTCTCTCCTCGTGGGTACCTGTAAAAAGTGGGGTTCCCCAAGGTACAATCCTAGGTCCTCTTCTCTTTTTACTTTATGTAAATGAATTGCCAACTGTAGCAAAATCATCCGTTCTACTCTTCGCTGATGACATAAAGATTTGGAGACCCATACATAGCATGTCGGATAGGATAGTATTACAGGACGATCTTAGCTCATTGGTGGCATGGTTAGACAGGTGGTCACTAGAAGTAAATCCTAATAAGAGTGTAGTGATGCAGTTAAATAACTCTGATGAATCGTATGACTATACACTACGTGGATTCGTGCTACCCAAAGTAAGAAACTATAAAGACTTAGGAGTCATATTAAGCAATGATCTCAAAACGACTAGTCACTGTAAGGCTGCTGCTGCGAAAGGCTATAGGGTATTATGGTCAATTCGTAGGTCTTTCCAGTATTTAGATGATGAAATGTTTGGATTACTATACCCGATTTATGTGCGACCACATTTAGAATACGGGATTCAAGCAGCGAGTCCTTGTTTCAAATATGAAGCAGATATGCTAGAAAGAGTCCAACGACGAGCTACTAAGATGGTACAAGGTCTATCTGGCCTATCTTATGAAGACAGACTGAGACACCTTAACTTATTTCCGTTATCTTACCGTAGAGTACGGGGTGATCTAATATTGGCTTATCGTATACTGAACGATGACCTTGGTATTAACATGTCTTATCTTTTGCTTCCGTCTAGAACCGATCATTTGAGAGGACATTCGAAGAAAGTTCAAAAACCGAGATCAAACCGTTTACGTCTGGAGTTCCGTTTCTCGCACCGAGTAGTGAATTACTGGAATTCTCTACCGGAACACGTAATATCAGCACCATCTGTTAATATATTCAAAACGAGATTGGACCTCCACAGTATTACAAACTGCAAGGATTAATATAGGTCGACAGACCTCCTATCCTTATTACTGAAGACTGAAGTATAGTTTACTTGAGTTTTCCCATTGACGTTTAGGACTGCAATTGATCAGTCTCCTATTGGTATGTGTGTATACTGTGCATATTGCCTCGATATTGTCTTAATTTACAGGTTTTATAAACAAAGATGGATAGTGACTAGCAGTGGAGCTCAGGAAGCACGTTTCGTCCTATTTGGAACTCGTCAGCTGGATGTACCTGCATCTCGGAACTTGAACCCAATACCGTTCGCTTCATACGCAGGACTCAGTAGCTAAATAGATAACGTAATGGAGTTGGAAGCGAACGGTACTGAGTTCGATTCCAGGAGTGAACATCAACTCTAAGATGCAGGTGCGTCCAGCTGACGAGTCCTGGATTCCACTGCTAGCCAATATCAATCTTTGCTTATATAGTTGAAATGTTTATCAGTATAGGAATGATGTGGTCAAGTTATGCAGATGGATAATTAATTTAATTAGAATGACGTTCTTCATAAACAAAATATTATAATGGGTTCATATTTGATGAAATCATGAAACGAAAGTTGATTGCTGTACTCCTAATGAAAAATTGTTCGTGAACCTCATTATTTAATTTAATTAAATTTCATAGAACAGATAATGAGCCATGGAATTCATCGACCTAAAGAAATATGACTGGTAAATCTCTACTAGAATATTCAGGCATTTGAATTGTATAACACTACAGACTAGTGAAATCGTAAAAAATCATAATTATTTTTCTTGGGTTTATTCAAAAACGTGACTAGTAATAATAGTCAATTTACATTTATACTGACATTCATGGTTTCAATTAACTCAAGATAAATTATAATAGACTGATTCTGAAGACTGGCTGAAGAATTTACTATGATACTTTCTACATCGATCTTGAATAAAAGCCTCACATGAATAAAGATAAAGTAGAGTTTGAACATGCAGAAAATCAGATGTTTATTCTTCATAACACTAGATGATCGTCTTGCTGTTATGAACCAGATTAAGTTAGAAACGTGAATTACTGAATACAGACGTAATAGCTGAAAAATATTATTCTCCACTAGAGGCCTAGTATTTTTATTCTCATGGGGTTTGGGAGTGTTCTGCTGTGAAATACCAAACTAAAATGAAGTGTATCATCAGTAGTCCCTCTTCTTAACTTTTATTGTGCACAGGCGTGAACTTCCAACAAATATAAAGCACTACAACTAGTACCATATTGAATGGTTAAGCTAAAACGAAAGAATAGTATACATTTTTTATTTTGTAATTAAAACAATTTTCACAACAAGTTTATGAAACGTGTAAGTTCTGAACATTCAAACCATGACCTCTATCTCGGAAATTCATAACAAAGACGAGTAATTATCTTAAGGTCAAGCTTATGTATAATATATTAACGTCTAAAATGGCATGTTATAGGATGTTTGACGTAGTAGTAACATAATTTAAAAAATATAAATGTCAATAATGATGCTAAAGATTTATACAGTTATTTCGTTTTAAGTAGGCAGAGTGATTGGGTTTATGATTATTCACAATATAAATCAATCTTTTGTAGAGTAGACAGGTATTATGCTAGTGTATGAAAATTTCAAGTATCTTGAACAGATTGACGTATAGTCTAAAGAGTAATGAAAACCGGTTAATTGAGAACAGTTCATAGATAAAAGGATGGAAATCCGTTATCTACTCGATAAATGTGAAAAATAACAACTCATCAAAAATTTTTATTAACTTAAACTGAGTGCTTATGATCATGTCAGAGATAAAGACTGAATATATCAACTATGAATACCTGGAGTAAATATAAGCCGGAGGGTCCAAGTGAACCCAGATGACTAGTCACAGATGGAACGAAACGCGCATCCTAAATTCTATTTCCAGTCATTATCCTTTTCCAATAAGGACATCATGTTAGCTGTACCGACTGGACTGTTTAAAAAACGTTAAAGTTATCCAATAGTGTTTTATCGTTTCCAAATGGAATTACTGTCGAAATGAACCTCCAAAAGGCCTGTTATACTAGCATGCAGTTTTAAAATACTAGCACTATTCAAATGTTTTTTCCTGACATAATTATTCTGATACATATGAATGTAGCCCGTTAACTTTGTGAAGAATGTATACAAAGTTATCTTTGGTAGAGTGGAGGTAAACAATAAATTTTCTTCATTGCTCAAAAACAGTAGTGAGTTGGAAAGCATCGGTCATTGAAACCACTTCATATTATGCTGCCGATGCGATCTTGGAAGCAGCTTTGTTGGAGGAACATTTTGGTACTATAGGTATTTCTACTTTTAGGATCCTGATGTTATTTATTTATTGAGTGATAAGGTAACGGCTGATCAAATCTGATTTGGTTAGTTGAAAATCAATCAGCTTATAGAGTTTATTTAAAACATTAAAATACAAGGCACTTTTCAAAACAGAAAAATTTGTGACTTTACTCACTAGTGATTGTGAATCATTGAAAGTAGTTTTATAATCTTTGTAGTTGGATAATTTTATGGCTGTTGTACGGCAAATAAGAACAAGAATTAATGGCGAAGATGAATCCTTCTGTTTTGGGCACATTTAGTACAGTTACACTGTTAGTCTGTTCATAGTTAGTTGTGTTCACATTGTTTCGATGCAATTAATACTGTTCTATGGTTATGAAATCTAATATTTAAAATCGACAATATCTAGTAACTCCTCAAGTTTATTCATTTTTGAATTTCAGTATTAATCAGTATTTGATAATTATTATATATTATTACTATATTTCCGTATCGGGTAGAGACAGGTATCCACCTCAGACAATCAT